CTGGGCACAAGACAAACATCACAGATATACCAAGAATGAAATCATACCAACCATCTTTTCTGACCATGAAGGCATCAAACTAGAAATAAACCATAAAGAGAAGGCAAGGAACTCTCCTACCTCATGGAGATTGAAACCCACACTACTGGAAGTCCACTGACTAACGAGGAGATAAAGAAGAAATTAAAAAATTCTTTGAATTAATGACAAGGAGGACGCCAATTTCCTAAATGTATGGGACGCAGCAAAAGCAGTAATAAGAGGAAAATATATAGCAATAGATGCTCACATCAAGAAACAAGAAAGAACTCAAAGAAACAACCTAATCTCGAAACTCAAAGATCTAGAAAAAGAACAACAAAAAAGCCCCAAAACCAGTAGAAGAAAAGAAATAATAAAAACCAAAGCAGAAATAAATGAAATCGAAACTAAAAAAACAATCCAAAAGATCAATGAAACCAAGAGCTGGTTCTTCGAAAAAATAAATAAAATAGATAAACCCCTTGCCAGGCTCACAAGGGCAAAAAGGGAGAAAGCACAAATAAATAGGATAATAAATGAAGAGGAGAAATCACAACGACACAGCAGAAATCAAAAGAATTATTAATAACTACTATGAACAGTTATATGAAACAAGTTTAACAATCTAGAGGAGATGGACAAATTCCTACAACTCTACAATCACCCAAAGCTAGATAAAGAAGAAATAGAACACCTAAACAGACCAATTACAATTAGCGAAATTGAAATGGTAATCAAAAACCTCCCCAAAAACAAAAGCCCAGGACCTGATGGATTTACAAATGAATTCTACCAAACATTCAGAGACGAATTGGTACCTATCCTTCACAAACTCTTCCAAAAAATTGAGAAGGAAGGTATAATACCTAACACGTTCTACGAAGCCAACATTACACTAATACCAAAACAGAACAAGGACAACACAAAAAAAAAAAACTATAGGCCAATCTCCCTAATGAACACTGATGCAAAAACCTCAATAAAATTTTAGCTATCAGAATCCAACAGTGTATCCATAAGGTAATTCACCACGACCAAGTAGGATTCATTCCAGGGACACAAGGATGGTTTAACATCCGAAAATCAATCAACGTTATCCAACACATCAACAAAAGAAATATAAAAACCATATGATAATATCAATAGATGCTGAGAAAGCTTTCGACAAAGTGCAACACCCATTCATGATAAAAGCCCTTGAAATTCTTGGGATACAAGGAACGTACCTCAACATCATAAAGGCCATATATGACAAGCCAACAGCCAGTATCATTCTCAATGGTGAAAAAGCTGAAAGCAATTCCATTAAGATCTGGAACAAGACAAGGATGTCCACTCTCACCACTGCTTTTCAATATAATACTGGAAGTCCTAGCCAGAGCAATAAGACAAGAGAAAGACATCCAAGGAATCCAAATAGGAAAAGAAGAAGTCAAACTATCACTCTTTGCAGATGATATGATAATATACATAGAGAACCCCAAAAACTCCACAGAAAAACTAATTCAACTCATCAATCAGTTCAGTAAAGTGGCAGGATACAAAATCAACACGCAAAAGTCAGTAGCCTTCCTATATACAAACAATAAATCTGAAGAAGAAGAAATCAAAAAAACCATCCCTTTTCTTATTGAAACAAAAAAAATCAAATATTTGGGAATAAATCTAACAAAAGAGGTAAAGGACCTATACAAAGAAAACTATAAAACACTGTTAAAAGAAATAGAAGAAGACACAAAGAAATGGAAAGACATCCCCTGCTCATGGATTGGGAGAATAAACATTATTAAAATGGCCATTCTACCAAAAGCAATATACAGATTCAATGCTATTCCAATCAAAATTTCAATGTCATTCTTCAAAGAAATAGAACAATTATTGATGAAATTCATATGGAATCACAAAAAACCCCGAATAGCCAAAGCTCTACTGAAAAAAAAGAAGGAATGGAGGCATCACACTCCCAGACTTCAAACTCTACTACAAGCCACAATCATCAAAACTGCATGGTATTGGAACAAGAACAGACATACAGACCAATGGAATCGAATAGAAAATCCAGAAATAAACCCACAGATTTATGGTCAACTAATCTTTGACAAAGGAGCAAAGACTATGCATTGGAGCAAAGAAAGTTGTTCAATAAATGGTGCTGGGAAAACTGGGTCGCTACATGCAAAAGAATGAAGCTTGACCACTACCTCACACCATATACAAAAATCAACTCAAAATGGATTAAAGAACTAGACATAAGACCTGAAACCATAAAATACATAGAAGGAAATATAGGCGAAACACTACGTGATTTGCATATCAAAGACATCTTTACAAACACATCACCCAAAGCAGTGATAGTGAAGGCAAAGATCAACAGCTGGGACTACATCAAATTAAAGAGCTTCTGCACAGCAAAAGAGACAATAACAAAAACAAAGAGAAACCCCACCAACTGGGAGAAAATTTTTGCACACAACACTAATGATAAAGGACTGATCACAAAAATCTGCAAAGAGCTGATGAGACTCAACAACAACAAAGAAAATAATCCAGTCAAAAAATGGACAGAGGAACTAAAAAGAAACTTCTCTGAAGAGAAAATGCGAATGGCCAACAGGCATATGAAAAAATGTTCAACATCACTTGCAATCAGGGAAATGCAAATTAAAACTACCATGAGATACCATCTTACACCAGTGAGAATGGCACATATTAAAAAACTAGCAACAACAAATGTTGGCGAGGTTGTGGAGAAAAAGGAACTCTTCTGCACTGTTGGTGGGAGTGCAAACTGGTCCAACCACTATGGAGAGCTGTGTGGAGATTTCTGGACCTACTAAACATAGAGCTTCCACAGGATCCAGCAATTCCACTCCTAGGTATTTACCCAAAGAACACAGAAACATCAATTCCAAAGAACACCTGCACCCCTATGTTTATAGCAGCACTGTTTACAATAGCTAAGCTTTGGAAACAGCCCAAATGCCCAAAATTAGATGACTGGATCAAGAAGATGTGGTACATATATACCATGGAATATTACTCAGCATTCAAAAAGATAAACACATGCAATTTGCAGCAACATGGATGGCGCTGGAAGGGATCATGCTCAGTGAAATAAGCCAAAAAGAAAAAGAAAAATACCGGATGGTCTCACTCATAGCAGGGATCTAGAAAACTTAAATAAGGGACCAGGAAAATGAATAACTATAAGAAAGTGAAAATCAAATCAACAAAAACTATGAACCAGAGACACTTTTTGGGGGTGGGGGCGGAGGGGAGGGATTGGGGTCAGAATGGGGGGATTGCAATTGTATGGGGAATATAAAAATAAAATTTATTAATTTAAAAAAAAAGAAAAAAAAAAGAAAATGTGAAAAACCACAGATATGTGGAAATTTAAAAGTACTTCTCAATAATCACTGGGTCAATGAAGACATTAAAGCAGAAATTAACAGGCATATGAAAAACTGTTCATCCTTACTCAGGAAAACGCAAACCAAAACCACAATGAGATACTATCTCACACCTGTGAGGGTGGTTCATATCAAAAGTTCAAAAATAAGAGGTGTTAGTGAGGATGTGGAGAAAAGGGAACCTTTGTACACTGTTAGTGGCAATGTAGACTCGTCCAGTTCTTATGGAAAACAGTGTGGAGGTTTCTCAAAATTGCTAGAGAGATCAACTATATGATACAGCAATTCCAATCCTAGGTATCTACCTGAAGAAAGCAAAACGACTTATTTGAAGGATATATGCACGCCTATGTTCAATACTGCACAGATGAGTGGATAAAGATGTACATAAACACAGTGGAACACTAGTCAATGATTAAAAAGATGAACTCTTGCCACTTGAGATGACATGAATGGAATTGAGGGATTATGCTTAGCAGAATAAGAAGGAGGAGAAAGACAAATATCACATGGTTTCACGTATATAGATAATATAGAGAAACAAAACAAAGTGCCAGTAAAACAAAGCCAATAACAAACTTTAGACATCTGTTGGTAAATTAAAGCTATCGGATAAGGCTTCAGCCATGCATGGCAACCAGCTCAAATGAGGGGTGGGTAGTGAAGAAAGGAAGGCAACTTGGATTCTTCAGGCTCACAGCAACCCTGAGATAGCAAACCCTCTGAGGGAACAGCTCCATGAGTACCTATGTGCAAGCCAGGAATAGCCTTGTGGACTCCGGTGACATTCCTACGGCAGAGGATGAGAACAACTTCCTTATAGCCTCAGCTGTGCCAGGGTATTGCATTACACTAGCGGTCTTGGCATCAAGGCCTTGTTTTCTTTTTAACTGAGTAATGGGGAATCTATGTATTAATCTATGTACTGGAGGAGTGATGTCTGGATTTTAGCAATGTTAAGATAGCACCAATCTTGGCTATAGATATTAAAGTGGTTAATATCATTTAGATAAATGTAAAAGGTGACATTTCTTACACTCTCAGCGTCATGGAAAGATTGACTGATACGATGTTCAGAAAATTATTTAATCCTACAGTCCTATGAGATAATCAAAATCATTAAGCCCAATTTATAGATAAGAAAACTGTTGCTTAGAGAGATCTGCCCCAAAATCTGCAGCTAGACACTGGAGCTAGGACAACTAAATGCTTGCCAGATACATTAGTAAATTCTGGAGAACTGGTGTTATGGAGTGGGGAAAAAATGAACTTTAGGTCAGGAGAAGGCTTTTGGAAATTAAACCCTGTTATTACCACTAATATCTGGTACACAGTAAACACCTAAAATATTAATTTCCATTCTCCTCTCCAGTCCTTTCTTTGTTGGTGTATATCTCTAGAAAGAAAAGTGCAATAAAAACTCACATACATTTGGAGGTGACAGTCAAAACTCACATACATTTTTGCCATAACATGTATTGCAAATAGGATTTGGAAATGAGAGGAAAAGACATTTTAAATACCAGCTTCAGATAGCTTACTTAAGAAAATCAAAGTTTACCATACCTTTTATCAATGAGCAATTTCCAGTCAGTGTTGAATGCATTAACCTTTGAATAAGCGTATCTGTCAAAGTTTCTGGCTTATTGGAGGCATTTATCTAGTGGCTGCAGGTAATTTTCTCATGCTTCTGAAATAGTGAAAACCAATGTAAGGAAATGGGTTTTGAAGTTAGACAGAACAGAGCTGTAATCCCTATTTCTCTCCACAACTCTGCAAAAATTATTCACCTCAGGGTCTTAGTTGCTTCATTGTTTTTTTCATAGAATTATATGAAAATAAAGTGAGATAAAACATATAACACATGCTGTAGAATACTCAGTGTGATATAAGGACTCAGTAGTCAACAGTGGTTATTATTTTTTTGCTAGTTTGCTTCTCCTCTGGCAGATCAAGATTATACTTCCCTTAACTCAAAGGGAAAGAGTTGAGATATATTTTAAGGGGTTATTGGTGAAGAGAAATAATTCTTGATTAGTTAATGTGACAGTTTTCTATGAATCACCCATTGCATTAGGTAACTCACATCTCTGTTCCTGTAAGGCAATTTTGTGTGCTTTGGTTCAATAACCATATCCTGGGCCCTGACAGGTCCCGTACTAGTTATACGGATCTGAAATGACTAGATGCCAAAGTGAGGACTCCTGTATAATAAGGAATTCAATGTGGTCATAAATCCTATGTGGGACTTATGGGCTCCTCCTCACTCTTGTAACTCCTGTGGCACCTAGAGTAATGTAACTGAGTTTAAGAATGTTGATAGATTTAAGTAAATGTCTGACAAAGTCCCATTTTCCAAAATCTGGAGTACAAATTTCTCCTATAATATCACATAGTCCTTCATCTGTGACATGTAAAGGAGTAGCTCTAGAGGTGTTTTTCTTATTTTTCTCACTTAAGCGAATATGGTTTTCCCAGATTTAAATTGCCATTCCCATCTCTACAAAATCCTATTATCTAGTAAATCCTTTCATTCCAGAGAATCCATCATTGTATAGATTAGATAATAAAAATCAAAAAGGAAAGGTTAACAGCAGGAGGATTTGGAGGAGGAGGAGGAAGAGAATTACAATCAGGAGATACAGAAAACAAGTTCTTGGAAGAATTATCAGTGAAGACATAATTATTATGCATTTAAAAGCCAACAGCTAGCATTAGTCCAAGGAAGCTGTCTGTATTCTCTGTACTTCAGACAATGTGGTATTCATTTATAAATTTTTGACAGCTCTTTAGATAAAGTATATATAATAATTTTGCAGCAATCCATTATCTGCCAGAATGTACTTTAATTTTAGAGTTAGAATCTATTTGAAATAATTTTCCCAAGTCCTAAACATACTTTCCTTCAAATACATGACCTATATTTGAAGGATCATTAAAAGGATTAAAATGAGTCAAAAGTGCTCGCTTCGACAGCACATATACTTAAATTGGAACGATACAGAGAAGATTAGCATGGCCCCTGCACAAGGATGACACGCAAATTCGTGAAGCGTTCCATATTATTAAAAATAAACAAATAAAATGAGTCAAAAGTTCCTCCTTTCTTTCTTTGGTTCTTCTCTGCTCTATGGATAGGTCTGTGAACAGTGTTTTTGGTTTGATCAATTGAATCTATGTAATTGTTTTGAAAAACACATTCAGTGCTCAGGAAGGAATATCTACCATTATCCTGTCCAAACCAAGGCTGTCTGAATGAGCTGAGAAATCCTGATGAGGAAATACTGCAGACTTGGACTAACAATTAAGGGAAAATGTATCCATTGAAAATAGCCTGGTAGACAATACAGAGATGGCATATCATCTATACCCCCCACTAAAACAGCAGGAGTTTTCAAAGAATCCATAAACAACTGTAGGTTTTTTTTTTTCCCCCCTAAGAGATGACCCCAACGCAGGCTATCCAGAGCAACCTCTGTACTAGCTGCCAGGGAATAAGTTTATTCTCATCCCCTCCTCAAAAAACAAACTTCACTTATTACAGAATGCCTGTAGTTTTCTTTCTCTCCTGAACCAATTTTTTTTAAGGGCGGGCTCCAAAGAGAACTTCATTTTTAAAAAAATTATTTATGTATACAAGAGCTGGGGTACAGGCCAGAGGCATGGGGATGGGGGTGAGAGGATTCACCAGAGACAGAGTGGGGAACAGAACAGGCAGATTGACTGAAGTACGCTGCTGAGGGGAGTAGTGGACGAGGCAGGAGAGGTCTGCTGCGCCATGTGGGTTGCTCCCTGGCCAGCCGGGAATCGAACTCATGCTGCAGAGGCTGTGAATTGCTTCACAGGTTGCGTCTTTACCCCTTGAGCCACCAGGGAGGCCTTGTACCCAATTTTTTATATTATAAAATTTTCATAAATATTTAAATAAAGGAGACAACAACAGCTCCTTTATACATGAAGAAAGTCCTATTTTGCTGACAGCTAGCTAAAATCCCTGCATTATTCTTCAAAAGTCCCAACACAAGTTAGTAGCTCCATTATAAAGGCAAGTTCAGGAGGATTTTCTCAAAAGCCATAAAATAATTCAGGATCATGTAATTACAAAAAAACATGAAGTAAATTAGTGAGGACTCATCATTCAACTTATTGGTAACACTTGCCTTTTCAGTTGAAAGCAAGCTCCATGAGGGATAAAACGAGAAATAGTGGCGACATGGCAGAATGGGGTCTTCATAAGTAGAACACAAGACAACATTCACCAGGGGAATATTATGTTTGATTAAGCATTTATATCTTCATAGGACAGAGCCCCTTTTGGCCTATCCAAATCCAGAAGATAAAGGACAGAAGACACAGCTTGCTTGCAGAGAAAGACGGCACCACATTTCTTCTTCAGAGGGAATCCTGGCGGCAGTTAATGCAGCAGTCCACACAGCACTCTTTCCACCCTCATACTCCGCTGTAAAAGAGAAACTGCACTTAATTCTTGTTAAAAACAGCAAGGAAGACTTTATTCATCACTATTACATGTAATAGGGGAGACAGATTGCATTCGCCGTCCCAAAAATAAAAGGTGAGAGGATTTTATTCATTCATTCATTCATTCATTCATTCATTCATTCATTCATTCATTCATTTATACAAACACTGGGTAGTCAGAACAGCGGGAGGGTGAGAGAATTCACCAGAGCCAGAGCAGGGAACAGAACAGGCAGAGTGAGGAAATACACTGCTGAGGGGAGCGGCGGGCAGCAGGGGAGTTCTGTGCGCCATGTGGGACCCTCTACGGTGGCTGGGGATTGAACCGGTGGCTGGGGATTGAACCGGCGCTGCAGAGGCTGAGGGCAGCCAGCGCTCAACCTCTGCGCCACCAGGGGAGGCCCGAGAGGATTTTTTTTAATATTTTATTTTATATAATTCTTACATCATTTTTCATTTTTGCACAATGTATGCATTTTCATTTTGGTTATAGTCCCCATACAATTGCACCCCCCTTATTTTGACCCTAATCCTTCCTCTCCTCCCCCCTCCCCCCCCGCAGTGTGTCTGATCCATAGTTGCTTGTTGATTTTGATTTTTACCTTGTATTAATTAGTCTTTGAGGATTTTTAAACACTGGGGTGAGCTAATGGGAAAGGACTAGAGGACTTCAGAGGGAAAAGTTAGTCAAAGTGATTAAGTCATCTCTGTTAATTGTTATTTATCATTTATTGAAATTAGGCTTCTATACTTCCATGGAGCTGGGGACCTCATTTTCTTGATGATCACATTTCAAAGTGAGGGGTCCCAGATCCTTGAGGAAGACATTTCTGAATTATAGAAGATTTACTTCTCAAAGGGACTTAGAGAAAACTTACAATTGCATGTTTTCTAAAACTCATGCTCTAAAAAGAGTGAGGTTAAGGGATACGATCTGGAGAAAATCTGACCAAAGTATAGTCAAGCTAAGGGGAAAATTAGGCCAGGATGGTTATCTTAGGTTACCAGTACAGGTGCAAGGGACTGAACCTGGCTAGCTTAAAAACATCCTGGGACTACAAGAAAGACCGTATTCAGGAGGATCAGAATTATGGCTCCCTATCAGATCTTTATATTCTTCCAGTCTAAATAAAATTTATAAATTAAGGGTCATTTTTATCGTGAACAATCCTTCCTAATAATAGAAATGACATTTTATCTTTATTGGGCTTCTAGGGAGGAAAAAACTTAATTTAACACTGGTATTCAAATTCTTATGCATAAACAGAATGGTTTTGGTATCTTTCACTCATAATAGGCATTATGAAAATGCTGTATTTTACCTCTTTACTTTTCTCCCCAAATGTCCTCTCTCATCTTCCAAAAACATGTACATGCATGAGAACACCCAATAACTTATACACATCTACAATGCAATCTTGTCATCTTGTTCTTTACCACTCAAAATTGCTAAACTTCATTTCTGGTGAAACTGTCTTTGGTTTCATTATTTTGCAACTGTAACTAAAATGAGTATATGACATATTACCAGTTTTGAATGTATACTTCTATGTGTTCTAATTTTTATTTGCCTCTATTCATTTCTAATTTGTTTAGCATTTACATAGAGGTATGCAATCCTTTAAGGACACATATTTATGTACTGATTATTGAACTTCTTGATTTAATCTGGATTTATCCAGTTAGTGTCCACAATAGCTAGGCTCTCACCATGCATACACCTCTGTCATGGAAGTTGACAACTGTAATACAATGGCCCCAATGTCTTCCAAAAATAATTTGAATAAGTTGTTATAAAAGGGATATAATCAGGTAACCAAATAGAAAATGAGAGCTGGGAACCAAACAAAAATAGATCCAAGTGTTAACATAATTTCTATAATTATACCTCAGATCTAATTCTGAGTCTTCTACAAGACACTAAAAAAGTAAATATAATATCTCAATGCACACTAAAAAAGTTACAGAAAATAATTTTTTTCTGAGAAAACAAAATTTTGATTTTAAATTTTGAGATTTTTCTGTTAATAAATCTCAATAAATACCTTATTAGGAGTTTTTTAATAGAGAATTATGCTGTAAAAATTACTGTAGCATGCATTTTATAAAATATCAACAGAAGTAAAAACACATCATTGTTGTTTCTTAAAACAATCTTGTATAAAACTTGAAAAAAATGAATGTACAAATTAGTAAAAATAATTTCA